CAAAATAAATCTGCTTCCAAAATAACCACAGTTACCCGAAACTCTGAAATCCAAAAGCTCCAAAACTGGGAGTTTATGTGCAAGTTTGCAGCAAGCTCCCGTGGCATCCAAACCTGTCCTGAACTGATCTATTGGCTACATATTATTTTTACTCTTTTTTTTTTTTTGGTGTACTTACACATTTCTCTGCAGAAATATTAATGTTTTAGAAAAAAGTATACAGCCCCACGTTCTGCGAAGAACATTATTTAATCCATAGTGTATACTATTAAAATTAATAAAAGGAAATTTCACTAGAGTTGGAGGCTGGAATGAGGAGCCATACACCTCTCAGCATCAATTACAGTAAGAATTGTCAATTACAAACCCCAACAGAATCATCATCAACAGAAAAGATGATCAATTACAGACTGCAGATCAATTAGAAACTGTCATCACCCTGAACTCTTGCTTTCCTCCAATGGATTTTCATTCAGAACAATCCTTCCCAATTTCCTCCTCCTTCCCCATTAAAATAACATTCCTCTCCACTGTTTCTTGGACTTGCCTATGTTTTTGCCCTAGCTTGCATGTCCCAAACTGTAATTCCCTGCTATTATTGAATAAATCTATTCTTCTGCCGGTAAAATATTTTATTTATTCTTTTATTTATTCTATTTTTTTCTTTTTGCTTTAGGAAAAAACCTCTAAGAAATGGGGTACCAGTCATCAAAATGCTTTAAGGGCATCTCCACTTCTAGGACCTCAGCCAGTTTTATGTTTAAAAACTATGGTCCTTCCTCATGCATATTTCTAACTAAATGGACCCATTTACCTAAATGTAATTTTAGAACTTCAGTGACTATTATGGTGAACTTTCGATCTCCCCAAACTTACTTTCCTCAAAACTGAACTGGACAGACATGGCTCTACAGTTGTCGAAACTGAATGGGATGCCAATATTGCTTGGTATTTTGAAGCAACCAACTGCTACCAGGAACCTAAACTTTGCCTCTGCAAAATACAATTTTTCACTAAATGAGGCAAACAATTAAAAAAAGACAAAAAGGCTTCCAAGGGCTCCTTTCCCCGTCCCTGATCTTGCCTCAGGACACATGCAGCCCCTCATACGCAGGCCCCACCACCTCCACTGCCATCATCCTCCTTCCCTTCTGCACAAGCTCCACCTCCTCTATGCCCTTGGTTTCCTCATTTGAATTTTCTCACTGAACTTCTCTGTTCCTTAGAAACTCTCCCTGCTCCCACCTCTCCTGAACCTACTAAAACCTGCCCCTTTAGAGACTTCCGAGGATCCAAATAAACCCCAAATTTCTTAGGTTCCCTGGACTAAGGCTGAATTACAAGCCATAGTTAAAAGAGTTTCCTAAAGTGAGTGAGGACCCCCATAGGTCTGCTGAAGATTTTAGCAGAGTGATTCAAACGTGCCAACCTGGTTTCTCAGATATTTATCAGTTAGTCTACATGCTTGTTCACGAGGGCCAAATGCTGGAGGAAATCAGCCCAGAGGAACATCCTGAAAGGGATTCTGAGAAACAGACCCCTAACTTTTGGCAAGATGTTAGAACACTCAGCTGGAAACCTCCACTGAGCAATTATAGTAGCCTTTCCTAAGCCTGTTGACTGGAACAAAATTCAGGCTTGCACACAAAAGCCTGATGAGCTGTTCATGATTATTACAATCTACTTCAAATTATCTTTAAAGAAAATTCTGATCTTGCTGTGCATGTTGAATCCACACAGGTAGCATTTAACTTTATGTTTATTAGCAGGCTGAACTGGGGTCTCTCTCTTAAAAGAACCAAGACAAAATGGGAAACCATGTCCACTCCAGATTAAATCTGGCAAACCAGCTTGCTCACACCCTAGATGAGTCACCTGAAAGACAAACCACTACAATTCTTAATTTTCAACTCCAGCAAATGAAAGCCCCTAAGCAAAGCCAAAACCTCCTAGTTTCTGCTGTTGTTGCAAAGAGTCAGGACATTGAATAAAAGATTGCTACTCTCTTAAGTGCTTCAGATGTCTTCAGCCTTCTAGCCACCTTTCCAATGCCCTCCTAATTCCCAGTAATGGGGCTGCAAGGAACTACCAGGGATCTTCCCAATCTTCCCACTTAATCAGCTTGGAGAAACCACTCTCCAGATTGGAAATGAGTTTTTCCCTGTCCTTGACACCAGAGCTACAGTCTTGGTGCTCAACCTCACTGCTATAAAGTAAACTTGCCTCAGAGTACTAAAACAGTTCAAATAGTGGGGGTCTCTAATCAACTTCAACAGGTCCCTATCTCTGACCTATTCCCTTTTGTCTAGGCCCTTTAAGAAATATGCACCTTTCTCTCCTTAGTTCTGCCACCCCATTCATTTACCAGGTCGAGATTTCTTAGAAAAATATGCCAGAATTCCTTTCACCCAAAAGGGGGAAATAATTTTACAAGTTGACAGTGATAATTAAAATAGCCAACCAGGTGAATTAAATGACCCTTTGACATCTTTTATTTGCTCTGACAGTACCATAGCTGAGTCTGGGGATGATGATCATTTGTCCCTATTGGATCAGCTACTGTCCTCTTTTTGGGCAAGATCTTCAACTGATACTGGCAGAATCCACGGTGCATCTCCCATCAAGATTCAAAGAGATCCCTCAAAAGCTCTCCCCAGAATTAATGAATACCCTATAAATAAAGAAGCCCTTCAGGGCCTCATTATTCCCTGCACTAGTGCCTATAACACACTTATTTTACCTGTAAGAAAACCTAAATAACCGAGGATGGAGGTTTGCTCAGGACCCACAAGCAATAAATAACATTGTTACCACTTGGCACCCTGTTGTTCCTAACCCCCATATGCTACTGATCTCCATTCCCACAAAAACAAATTTTTCACTATAACTTAACTATGTAGTACACGTTTCGTATTCTGGTTGATAAGGCCAGCCAATTTATTTTTGCTTTCGCTCTCAAAGGACAGAAATACACCTGAACAGTAATGCTCTAGGGTATCAGAGAGAGTCCTTCTTACTTTTTCCAAACCTTAAAAGCTGATTTGAATGATGAAAAGTTTTCTGCAGGCTCTACTTTGTTACAGTAGATTATTTGCTTCTCTGCTGCCCTTCTCGAACCTCTTCACAGGAAGACATCTACCCCTTAAAACTTTTGGATTTATAGGAATGTAAAGTCTCCAAAGAAAAATTGCAGTTTGCGCAAATTCAGGTTCTATAACTGATCTCAGAACAAGGGCTACATTTGGATTCAGGTAGGCTTCATTGCATCCCGAACTCCTCCCCGCCCCCCCCCAATCTAAAACTAATCTCTAATTACAAGGTTTTCTTGGACTGACTGGACACTACTGAGAGTAGATTCCAAACTTCTTTCTTCTAGCTCAACCTCTATATGCTTTACTAAAAAAGGACAAACCTGACCCTATTATTTGGAAAGAGTGGGTAGACACAGCTTTTGGTACTTTAAAGAAAAACCTAATAAAGCCCCTTGCTTTTAGACAACCAACTTCCCTTTTTCCTCTTTGTATGTGAGAGAAGGGAAGGCTTTGTCTGCATTTCCCAAACATTTGCAACAGGGGGAAACCTCTTCTTTTGATTATGGCCTTTTGGAAATAGCCTCATCATGATCCTGTGACCAAATTATTTACTTGTTTTTTTCTGAAGGTTTAGAAGGTTCAGAATTCACAAGTCTTTCTTTCATCTGATGTATTATCTGACTCTGAACTCTTATCCAAATTCATGGTCTCTGAATTTGCAACCTGACAGGCTGTAGTGTTAGATAACATTTGTTTCCAAAACAGTTCTTTTGACATATCAATACTGTTTTAATACATCTTTGAGGATTTGCTATTTTTTGCAACAAATTCATTGGCTATTGCTTCATGTTTATACTTGCACTGTATCGTCCCAAATGCACTTGGTTAATTTAGTGTGCTCTTGAAGTATTCACTGCTTTGCTTTCATGGCCACTTTAAACGGGGACTTCCCAGAGGCATCCATAACTCTGGGTTTGTTTCTGTTGGGAGAATTTTCTCCCCTAAGTTGGAGTGAGTACCAATAAATATTTTCAGTTAGTTACTTTCTGATCTAGGGTCTTGGTTTAGAACCATCATAAAATTTGGGAGTTAGGTTACTTCTTCTGTTTTTGCATAATATATTTTAAGTTTTGTATTTTGTTGCCTGTCAAACTTTTGTAAAAATCACGTACCCAGTAAGGAGATGATCTCCAATGCTTACAGCCTTGACAAATATGAACTACACATGAGAAGTGCCTCACCTTCCTTGTTATTCAAATGTGGCCCTAAGTGGTTTCTGGTACGTACTTTCCTCGAAGTAGGATGTGAGGACCAGAAAAGGTCCTTCCTGGCATTAAGGAACAAAAGCATGAAATATGGAAAACCTGACTCTTGATCAGAGGTGCTTTCAGAAAAAGATCTTGACCAAAAGGGGGAAATGTGAAAATTAATAAAGGAAAACCTCATTAGACTAGGGAAGCTGAAAGGGGGAGCCATACCAATCAAAGTCAATTGCAGGAAGAACTGTCAAATGAAGACCCTAACAGAAGAATCATCAACAGGAAAAAATGATCAATTACAGGCCCCAACAGGAAAAGACGAACATTGAATCTTCTACCAGAAACTCACTACCCCTGCAAATCAGCTAATGAGAAATTGTTACCTCTTTGAATTCTTGCTTTTCTCTAATGACTCTTTCAAAACAACCCCTCCCAACTTCCTTCTCCATAAAATAAAGTTCCTTTTATTTGCTGGACTTCCCTGTGGTTTTACCATAGCTTGAATGTCCTGAATTACAATTTTTGCTATTCCTGAATACACCCATTTTTGCTGGTAAAATAACTATTTTATTTTAAAAGTTAAAAATACTACATTACCATGTTAAAATCCAAAAAAATTTCTAAATTCCAAATACATCTATCCTTAAGAGTTTTAGGTAAAAGAGTGGTCTTGGACTAGTTTTAGAAAATCATATCATCATAAACTTACCAAATTCTCTTCTATCCAATGTTATGATTTCAGGATCATCATCATAAATACCTAATTTAAAAGTAAAAATTATAAATCAACGGTTCACCATAAAAACAAATTACCATATAAAAATAGGTTACTCTTGTTTTATCATCAAAAATCAGAGTACTGTACTAAATCTCAAAGTTGAAGAATGTGCAACAAACTAACAAAACCCGAGAGTAAATAATACCACTAGTGATGCATCTAAACAGTGATAAAAAACAAAAAATTCTGTTTCCTGATAGGGACTGTCATAGTTGTGTATAGGAGTTCCTAATATTCCCATATCTCCACAGAAAACTTCTATTATTTTTTAATTGTTTATTTTGCACTAATTATAGACTCACAGGAAGTTGTAAAAATAGCAGACTTCTATGTACCCTTCACTCAGCTTCCCCTAATGGGTGACTTATGTAGCTTTAATAAAATATCAAAACTAGGAAACTGACACTGATACGTTACTGTTAACTAGACTACAGACCTCACTTCCTTCTTAAATGGTTTTTTAAATAAATTGTATCACTAAAATATTTTTTTAACAGTCTTAGAAGATTTACAGAAGTAGAGACCAACTTATTTAGTAAATATAAATTGTATCATAATTAAAACCAATGTGAGATTTGTTACTATATAAAATATCAAAATACTACTACTGATGGATATAGACCAGGTGTTAGCAAACTTTTTCTGCAGAGGCCAGTTAAATAGGCCTTGTGGGACATATGGTTTCTGCCATAACTATTCAACTCTGCCCCTGAAATGAAAGAAGCCAAAGACAATATGTAAATAAATGAGCCTAATTTTACTCTCGTAATTATCATGGTCTCATAATTCTATGATTAATAAAGCTCTATTTATAAAAAGAGGTGGCAGGCCAGATTTAGCCTGTGAAACATACATTGCTGACACCTGATACACGCTATTGCGTTGCAGTGAATATAACTGAAAATGCTATTTTGAAAAAAAAAAAAGTCAGTCTTGAGAAATAAATACTCCAATATTAATTTAAAGTTATTTTATGTGGTCACTACAAAAAGCATACCTCAATTCTTAGCTTGCATTTCAGGGTAACTAAAGACGAAGAGAAATCCTGGGTAAGTGAATGCTCCCTCTTGCCTTGATACCTGTGTTTATTTTACCTCCCCCCCTTCGGAATTCTGCTCCAATGTTATATTAAAAAAAAAAAGAGTCAAGGTGATACATATTAACTACATAAGCTTAGTAGTGAAACAAAATTAATTTTCTAAATTTACTCAAATAAAAAACAGTATTTCATAGAGTATCGTATCATCTTACCAAAATCATAACGATAATAATTCCAGCTTTCATACTGGCCTCCTTCTTGATTATCTGCAAGTCCCTTTTCTCCATATTTGTCATACTTTTTCCGCAGATCTTCATCTTTGAGTACTTCATATGCTCTATTTATTTTTAAAAAATCACTATGTGCATTTGGGTTATTCTATTAAAAATATTAGATATAACATTTGTTTTAGGTTCATGATCAAGTCTCTTCAAAGCCTATATGAAGATTTAATCTTGAGATTTCTGGGAGAATAGATACCAAAGTAAGGAGGAGTACGATAATGAAATGGGTTATCACGGGTTAAAATAAAGTATTTCTAAAGAACCATAATCTTCCAAAAAAAAAAAGGAATAAGGAAAGTAACATAGAAATGAGAATTGATGCCTCCAAAGGCTGACAGATATGGGCTTACAGTATGTCATTCCTTCTAAGAAATGCAACTGGGAAAAACTAACAAAACCTTAGAAACATTTAATTTTGTAAATATTATACTACCCCTAAAACAATTACAAAGAAATTTTAGGTTATTTTTCCATTTGAGGCAAAAACCAATATATTAACTAAAAACAATAACCCCAAAACAAAAAACAAAAGGTACGTGCCCCAATCCACCAGATAATTAAACGAGACTAATACCAGAGTAAAACTCAAAACTGGATTAGAAATGTTCCTCATTTATTACTGTTTCACAGAACTGGTTTTTGAAGAATGCTTTCATCTAGATAATAATTAGCTATAAAAGGACTACCATCTCTCATATGGAAACTTAAAAAATCATACTCTGAAATTTTAAAGAAAAATATGAAAAATAAAAATTCTAAATAGAGTGCAGATTCCAGGAAAATAACCACCTAATAAGAGTTCTACTGCTGAGCTTTATGCAACAAATAAATAACTCTATTTAAAAAATTTTACACAGAAAACAGAAAATTTTAACCCATACCTTTCTTCTTGATGAGTCAAATCTCGTTAAAAAGTTACATAAATTATTAAAAATACGATAGTATTAAAACATTTAGTTTTGAAAAATTACATTGAATATATAATCAAATATTTATGACCGGAATTAACTGGATTTGGCTGCTCTTAAGTTTTAATTTATAATAATTTCTGACTCTGGTCTGGGATTTGTACGTGGGAGAAAACAGTGAAAGTTGAAGCACGTTATTATTAGCTATTACTGCCATTTTTACCAAGTTCTAAGGAAATAATTTTTGTTACAAAGTAGTTGATCTTAACTTACTTTTTTTTTTTAAAGATTTTATTTATTTATTTGTTAGACTGAGAGAGCGCACAAGCAGGCAGAACGGCAGCCAGAGGGAAGGAGCCCGATACGGAACTCGATTCCAGGACCCTGGGATCTTGATGCGAGCTGAGGTCAGACGCTTAACTGACTGAGCCCACTCAGGTGTCCCTGATCTAACTTACTTTATTAAAAAAACTACTTAAACTACTCCACAACATTATTGTCGGCTTTGGAATTAACACCTGTAATGGAACTTGTTGTAAATCAGTTTTCAAATTAAGAGGGAATTGAATTTTAGTATCAACATTCCTTCACACTGTTCTCAACTAGACTATTTTGCTGATTCTTAGTACAAAAACTGAATAGTGATTTTTGCCATGTGATTTTTCTTAACCATTCTGAGCACTTATTTAAAATTTAAATATGTAGCAAAACTTTACTAAAATACATTAGAGATATTTAAAAAAAATTTACCTACCGGGTTTTTATCAGGATGTAGCTTCAATGCCAATTTCTTGAAAGCTTGTCTTATTTCTCTACTGCTTGCAGTTTTGGATACTCCAAGTAAACTGTAAAAATCCTGATCTGTGCCCACTAAAATGGCCATATACACTATTAGAAAACAGAGAATGACCCTTTTCAAGTCTCTGACATAGTCATTTTTATTTAACCAGACTCCCATTCTTTTTCTTATACAAGTTCTGATTTAAGTGAACATTTACACCGCTGGTTCCAGTTGATAAAATATGCAAGTTTGAGAACTTCTGTTCACATTACTCCAAGAGTGAATCAAGCATCATGAAATTGTCTCCCAAAATGTCAATCTAAAGAGAGGAAACCAGATGGTTAAAAATACATTAAAAAAAATAGCACTAACACTATTAAATAACATGGCCAGTAATACAGTCTCCATTCAATGGCAAATCACGGTGAGTGCCCAGGCTCTATTCTTTGGGAGCCCCGTCACTGCTTCCATACCCAATTTGTGAAACCACTCAAGACAGGAGATAAAAGGTAAAAGGTAGTAGGTAGTTGTAGCTAGCTGGAACACTTTAAAAACAAACAAATTCAACTATTTGCTCTGATCAGCACCAGAACACAAAGTTGGGAAAAAGTTGTTTCCTTACCTTTCCTATCTAGTTTAAGAACTGCTCTTTTGTAATACCATTTCCTTTTTGACTTTTTTTTTTTGGCCACTTAAGGCTACACCGTTATCATTTTAATCAAGTTTTCACTTATAGGAAATATCCTTTGGAGGGACTAGAAGGAAGTACAGGGTCCTTTCAAAGGATATTGTTCATATAACTCTTCCAAGAATGGCATGAATTTATATTGTTATAAGAGACAACATACTTGGTATGGCCATTTTTTCCTGAGTTTTCTCAATAGTTGCTTACACTATATATAAAGACTACTTTATATAAATAGCAGAAAACTACAAGTTAAGAGTGTAATTTTATTGCAAAGTTTACATTTGAGATCAATACAAATAGAAAAAAAAGAGAAAAGGAGGAATCAGTTATTTTGACATGCTCACCTGTATAGGGTAAATAATCTCCACTTCATCAGATCACAAAAGATCTCAAACTGCTTTGAAAAATCTAACCTTCTTAGCACTGTTTCTCTTTTCTTCATTTAATTCTAAATGTCTATTTCTAAATTTTTCTCCTTACCTGCGAATGGTCTTTGGCTCATTTCTAACTCCTCCTTTTCATGCAACTGAAACATACCTTTGTAAAGTATAGTAATGGAGAGTAACTGATCTCCAGACTAGAAAACAAGATTAGAGAGAAATAGAGAACATATTCTTAAACAGCACTTTGGGACAAGTGGTGTTCCCTGCCTAGCGGTCGTTCTCAGCGTGGGTGTGGCTGACTTGATCGCGCCGAGCTTCGGGGACAGGTGGAAGCTGCAGGTAAATCCAATACGAAGCCTTTCTGGCTGCCATCGCTCCAGAATGGGATGCGAGAGAGGGGAAAGATGGGAGACCTTGCGTGAAAGAGACTATTAAGCGTTGTTGGTGTGTGAAGTCTCCGGCGGGACCTGGGAGAGAGGAGCCTGAGGAACTGAGGCTTAAGCGAGAAATTGGGAGTTTGCAGAAGCAGAGAACCGAGGTCGGAAGAAGGGTGACGATGTAGGTAATTGGAAAAAGATGGGGAGCGAGAACAAAATAAACCGGCCGCAGGGGCGGAGGGGAGGGGAGAGTGAGGTGCACAGGCATTTCTCTCTCCCTTCCTGGAGAGCCCCGGCCGCCGCCGGCTCCAGCAGAGCCCCGGGCCCCGGCCCATGCCCACCTCAGTGTAGCTGGGTCGCCTCTCGCAGCTACTCCCCCATCCTCAATTCCCGGCGGCGGACCCCACCCGACCGAGCGCAAGCTGTGCGCGCGCGAACGAAGCACGCCGTCCCCGACCGCCGGGCCGCCGCGCTCGGGATGGGGGAGGTCGAGCCGCACCGGCAGCAACGAGCGTAGCAGCTCCAGTCGGCTCCTCGCGCCCCACCGGGGCGGGGCCTGGCGCGGGGCACTGTGGGAAAGGCGTGGAGGACGCGGCCTGGGAGGACCTGCGGCAGGCTCAGCGAGCGCGGCGGCAGCAGGGTGGAGAGGGCGGTGTAGGTTTAGGTTGACGTGGCCGTCCGCGCGGAATCCGGCTCCGGCTCCGGCTCCGGCTCCAAGCCCGAGCTCAGAATCCTGCTCAACCCTAGACGCCTGCGCCCCGGCACTAAAGCGACTGGCGCACGCGGCGAGCTAGACGTAGGACGAAGGAGTCCGCCCCTTCCTGCTCCAGTTGCTATGGTGACGGGGAAACCCGGGGGGCACGTTTGGGCGTTCAATTTCCGTGTGGCCCTGTTCTTAAAGGGAAGGCAGAGTTATGGAGCATTCTCCGCTTGGTGGGTGGGTGTGGCAGAGAGGGGAAATTTTGTGGAAAAAGGGTAACTTGGCCAAAGTGATTACAGGCTGAAGAGGAAACTTGGGAGAAATAAGAATATTTGTGTGTGTGTGTGTGAGAACAAACATTTGAGCATTCTACAGTATTGTCTGGTTTCCTAGTCGTCCAAGCTGGAAACTAGGGAGTTATCCATACTTCTCTCTCTCTCTCACCTTAAATTTAAATGATATGGTACAAAAACTGCATTTTTGATCCCCAACAACATAGAACAGTTGAAGTAGCTACATTTGCAATCATTAAAAGAAAAAAAAAACATTGTGAAGATGCCTGCTTAAGACGTTAACCCTAAAAAAAAAAAAAAAGACATTAACCCTAATATGAAATAAGTTGTAATTGGTAACAATTTCAGGTGTAGTAAAATCAAATGTAAGTTAATAAAAAACTGATGACTGTATGGAATCCATAGCTGAACTAATATATTGCAAGAAAGAGAAGAAAGGAGGTGAACAAAAGAAATATTAGAAGAGCCTAATGTAATAGTAGATATGTGCCAGGAACTGGTCTATGCACACATGTATTAATTCAGTCCTCCAAATAATCTTATAGTGACTATTATACCCATTTCACAGTTGAGGAAACTGAGGTAAATAATGTGATAGACCTAGGAGTCACACTTAAGCAGCCTGGCTCCAAAGACTGATGTTAATCATTATGCCACACTGTGTATAAACCAACAAAATCGTTAGAGTAAGGTGGAAAGCAAAACAAAACTGGAGAATCAAGCAGGGAGCAGATCATAGGGTTTTACGCTATGATGAAAACACAGACTTTATCTTTTTCGTGATGAAAAAGCTACTTAAAGCTTTTAAGTAAGGGACTGAGATTGTATTTGAAGCTATTGGAAAGTGAATCCAAAGGAAACCAGAAGAGAAAGGAAGAGCATTAAGGAGAATGCTAGAGAAAGTAAATTTGGTAGGAAATGGTGATTGGCTGGATATGGGAAATAAAGGAGAGGAAGGATCTAAGGTTACTTCTGGTTTAGGTACCTGAGTACATCCCCTAAATGAGAATCTCAGGGAAAAACAAAGCATTCTCATTTGGATATATCTATTTCAAAATTCCTACATTATGTCCAAAATAAATACATCTAGCCTAAAACTCATGGAAAGTGTCTAGACTGAAGAAAGAAAAAGGGAATTATCAACTAATCTGTGGTAGTTGGAGCCATGAGTATAAATAAGATTACCCAGAGAAAGTAGCAGAATAAAAGCTGTGAGCCAAGGATAAAATCTTGGGGAATTCTAATATCAGGAATGTTGCACGGCAAAGGAAACCATCAACAAAATGGAAAGACAGCCTATGGCATAGGAGAAAATATTTGCAGATCATATATCTAATAAAGGGTTAATATTCAAAATATATAAAGAGCTTATACAACTCAATAGCAAAAAAACCCCAAACAATTCAATTAAAAAATGGGCAGATGATCTGAATAGACACTTTTTCAGAGAAGACATACGGGTGGTCAACAAGCATATGAAAAGGTGCTCAGCGTCATTAATCATCAAGGAAATGCAAATCAAAACCACAATGGGATATCACCTCACACCAGTCAGATATTAGTCATAATATCAAAAAGCAAAAAAATAAGTGTTGGCAAGGATGTGGGGGAAAGGGAACCCTCATACTGTCGGTGGGAATGCAAACTGGTGCAGCCACTATGGAAAACAGTATGGAGGTTCCTCAAAAAATTAAAAATAGAACTACCATATGATCCAGCAATTCTACTTCTGGGTGTTTATCCTAAGAAAGTGAAAACACTAATTAGAAAAGATATATGCACCCTCATGTTTATCACAGCATTATTCACAATAGCCAAGATATGGAAACAACCTAACTATTGAATGACAGATGAACAGCTGAAGAAAATGTGGTATATATGTAAAATGGAATATTATGCAGCCATAAAAAAGAATGAAATCTTGTCATTTGTGACAACATGGATGGGTTTTGAGGGCATTATGCTAAGTGAAAAAGGACATACAGAAAAAGACAAATACTGTATGATCTTATATACAGAATCTAACACACACACACACACACACACACACACACACACCCACACACCACACCACCAAACCTATAGAGGACAGATTGTTGGTTGCCAGAGACTGGAAGTGGGGGGTGGGTGAGATGGATGGAGAAAGCCAAAAGATACACTTTTCCAGTTATAAAATATATGAGTGCTGGGGATATAATGTACAGCACAGTGACTATAGTTAATAATACTGTATTGCATATTTGAAAGTTACTAAGAGAGTAGATGCTGAAACTTCTCATCACAAGAAAAAATTGTATAACTATTTATGGGAGAGATGTTAATTAGAATTATTGTGATCATTTCACAATATAGACAAATATCAAATCATTATATTGTATATCTGAAACCAATATAATGTCAATTATACCTTAATAAAAATTTACAAATTAAAAAAAAGAATGTTAGCTCAATGAAGACAGGAATTTTTGTTTGTTTGAATTACTGTTGTATCCCTAGTTGCTCCTGGCACATGGTGGGTACTAAATAAATATTTCTTAAGTGAAACAAATTAATTTGAGAGCTGGACTGAAAAAGAAGAGCTCATAAAGGAGTCAAAAAAGAGTTGATCAGCGATGTACAAAAAGAACTAAACGTCAAGGAAGTTATTAAGAGTGATTCAGGTGAGACAGAATAGGAGAAGATACTTGCAAATGACATCAGATAAAGGGCTAGTATCCAAAATCTATAAAGAACTTACCAAACTCAACACCCGAAGAACAAATAATCCAATCAAGAAATGGCAGAAGACATGAACAGACATTTTTCCAAAGAAGACATCCAAATGGCCATGAACAGACACATGAAGAAGTGCTCAACATCGCTTGGCATCAGGAAAATCCAAATCAAAACCTCAATGAGATACCACCTCACACCAGTCAGAATGGCTAAAATTAACAAGTCAGGAAATGACAGATGTTGGTGGGGATGTGGAGAAAGGGGAACCCTCTTACACTGTTGGTGGGAATGCAAGCTGGGGCAGCCACTCTGGAAAACAGTATGGAGGTACCTCAAAAAGTTGAAAATAGAGCTACCCTATGATCCAGCAATTGCACTACTGGGTATTTACCCCAAAGATAAAAATGTAGTGATCCGAAGGGGTACGTGCACCTCAATGTTTATAGCAGCAATGTCCACAATAGCCAAACTATGGAAAGAGCCAAGCTGTCCATCAACAGTTGAATGGATAAAGAAGGCATGGTATAATATAATGGAATATTATGCAGCCATCAAAAGGAATGAAATCTTGCCATTTGTGACAACGTGGATGGAACTGGAGGGTGTTATGCTGAGTGAAATAAGTCAATCAGAGAAAGACATGTATTATATGACCTCACTGATATGAGGAATTCTTAATCTCAGGAAACAAACTGAGGGTTGCTGGAGTGGTGGGGGGTGGGAGGGATGGGGTGACTGGGTGACAGACACTGGGGAGGGTTTGTGCTATGGTGAGCGCTGTGAATTGTGTAAGACTGTTGAATCACAGACCTGTACCTCTGAAACAAATAATACATTATATGTTTTAAAAAAAGACGATAGTAGGAAGGGTAAAATGAAGGGGGTAAACTGGAGGGGGAGATGAACCATGAGAGACTATGGACTCTGAGAAACAAACTGAGGGTTCTAGAGGGGAGGGGGGTGGGGAATGGGTTAGCCTGGTGATGGGTATTAAAGAGGGCACGTATTGAATGGAGCACTGGGTGTTATACGCAAACAATGAATCATGGAACACTACATCAAAAACTAATGTAATGTTTGGTGACTAACATAACATAATAAATTTTTTTTAAAAAGTGATTCCGGTGAGACACTAAAACTTGTTAACTGGGCCTGGCAGTTAGGTTATAACTACCACAGAAAGCACAAATTTGGTGGATGGTATGGGTGGAAGTCAAGTTGCAGTGGACTGAAGATCGAATGGGAATTGGGGAGCTGGAAAGAGAAAGTATATAGGACTCATTTGAAAGTTTGGATGAGAAGAGAAGCAGGGAAATTATACTACAACTTGAGGGGGATGTGGTTTCAAGAGATGAAATGCTTTAGGCCTGAAAATGCTTGAATATGTTTAAATGCTGATTAGAAGCCGAGAGAGGGAGAGGGAGAAAGAGAGATGGAGGAAGAAGGGAAGGAGGGAGAGAAGGTGGGAGAGAATGGCTACAGATAAAGGAGAGAGGGACAGAGTCAGAGACAGAGGTGGATGGATTAAACAGTTCATTTATTCAATAAATTGTTTGTTGTCCACTGGGCCAGATCCCTGGCATATTATGGTGAGCAAAGACATCGCTCTGTCCTGAAGAAGCAGTATAATGGGGGGGGGGCACATCAATCAGTTATAAAAACAAATCTATAATTATGAAGGGAAAATACTTCAGTGCTGTGAGAATGAATAATGGGGAATTGATACTTTCATACTGGCTTCTGTGTCCTTTTGACAATCCCCATCACTTTTTTTTTTTTAAGATTTATTTATTTATTTATTTGACAGAGAGAGAGAAAGAGAGAGAGACAGCTAGAGAGGGAACACAAGCAGGGGGAGTGGGAGAGGGAGAAGCAGGCTTCCTGCCGAGCAGGGAGCCCGATGCGGGGCTGGATCCCAGGATCCTGGGATCATGACTTGAGCCTAAGGCAGACACTTAACAACTGAGCCACCCAGTCACCCCAGCCCTATCACTTTTTGACTGTGCTTATTTTACTGCACAATAA